CGATTTTAATATTTACTTAAATTTATATATGTACATACATGCAGTCTTACATCGCAACAACAATAAATACAAGTAAGAGAATGAATTAAAGAATAAAAGAACTTCTATTATAACCATATATGTAAATTTACTTTAACTGCTTCAATAGTCCTAAAATACTATCCATTAAAGATTACTTTAATTTGGAATTGTGATGTTTGTGGTATGTTTTATTTTCCGTGACGTATACATGTGGGAGTTTTTAGTGTTTATTCCCCCTAAAATTTTTCACTACTTTATTCTAGATACAATGGGTTTTTCGACCATATGTTTTTATATGAACTTTGAATTAGCTGGTTTAGAAATTTATATATTTTCCGATTTTTTATATAATTATCACTACACTTCAGTTTACGATTTTTTCAGAATTTTTAAATTTGTAAATAATAATACAAATACATTATTTTAAAAAAAATGATCACTTATATATTATTTAAATTAAAATCGAAATAATATTTCATATTGACGGTAAGTACGTGATTTTACATATACATCGGTGTAGTAAATAGTAATAGGTGTAGTATATTTTTTTATACTCTATTTTCTGAATAATTGTTAAGACTGACGTACTTCAAATTATTTTGCATTTATTAAGTGGGTGGGTACATAGAATTTTAGTAAAGTGAACACCTCAACGAATGATTTTTACTTGGAATTAAGTTGAAATAACTTTATGCTATCATTATGTGAGTTACTGAAAATGTAAATGAAATTACATAGTCTATGTACATTAGATCTTATGCAAGCAGTATGTAAGTTTATGAAGTTTTATTCGCAATTAAAAAATTACGTGATTTTTTTTTACAGATAGTTTTTATCTAGAAATCATTTCGTTGTTCTAAGTCATAAATTTTTAGGTGTTCGCAGTCTAAAAATATTTTTACATGGTTGATGGTTTTATAAACAAGTTCTAAAAAATAAATATGTGTAGTAAAAAAATATGAAATGAAATGAATGTCTACGTTTATTACAATAATAAAATCAAATTTTCATTATTTTTTATCTTATGATTCCTTATTATAAAAAACTATAATAGAATGCCAAATAGTTTTATGTTATTTTAATTTATTTATAATATACTCAAAATAGTATAAAATAATAAGTATAATATACTCAATATATAAATAGTATAAAAATAGTATTTAAATTTAAGTACGATTAAATATTAGTAGAAGTTGTTACTATAGTATTATATTTTTAGACCTGTATAGCACACTGTGTAAATATGTTCTTACTGGATGGCATTATTTACTCAAAGATATTTTTAGTCAAAAACGATTGAAACTCTATCTCTGTTACTGTGACAGTGATTGATTTATGTAGTTGGTATGAATCGTAAGCGCACACAGGAAGAGTGTAAGGCGAAGGATCATACATACCTATATGCCTGTATATCTATATAACCTATATACCTATATAATCAATAAAATTATTCTGCTTAATATTTATTAGTATATCATAATAAAATAATCAAGTACATCAAATTGGAAATCTAATTTCAACATCCCATGATTCATTATCCCATGAACTTTGTTTTCATTATAAAACGTTACTTAGGACAGACTAAACGTTTAAGGAAGAGCACTATCTAATGTCCCTCATTGGATTAGCCCATGGTATAAATCGAACTTTAACAACTTTTTATGTTCATATTTGTATACTTTAATATCATTCTTCTCGGATGAGATTAAATAGATGTATTTTTTATTGATACCTATATGATTTATTTTGAATTTATTTTATATAGCATATAATGATAAGAATACAAATGAAATAGCTTAGGAAAATTATAATTTTAATTAAATTTTTCAATAATGTTTTTTATGTATAATAAAAAATATTAAACAAACGTTTAATTTTAATCTTAACAAAAAGTGACCTATAGCCGGCTGGAAAAATATAAAAAACATTATTAAAAAAAACCAGGTCAAGAAACAAATTCAAAATTTAATAATTAAATTTTTCTTTTCTTAAAAATAATATTATTAATAACACTATAAAATACTAAGTAAAATTTGTTGTTGTTAGGACAATACCCCATATATCATATTTCTTGAAACGTTTAATTTATATGAATGTATAATAATGGCATCAGAGATTTTAACATACATATATTGAAGAAACATTAATAATATATAACGAAATTCTAAGCGAATAAAATTAATTATTTTTATTATAAGTTTTTATTTTAATCTACACACAGAGCTCGATTGATATCTGATTCGACTGACATGTATTAGTTTTCATGTTACTCTGCGATCTGTAATTTTTAGCTGCGGATTTATGTATTTTATTTATAAATTTATTTTATTTATATTTTGGTTCGGTTTGCTATGCATAATCAATTCACATTTAACAGTAAATTTGTAATTGTCAAAGTGAAAGTGTTGCAAAAATCAAGCATATATTTCACATGCAGTTAAACTTCAATTGAATTTGTTTAAATAATCAATTTGTTACTTAAGTTACAAAACGTGTTTATAATTTGTCGATTTATGCTGTATACATTTATGGATACAAAAAAAAAAATTGTTTGTTAAATGATTATGTAATAATAATATCTATTAAATTGTTTTGATTTATGCATTAAATTACTTTTCACATTAAGAATTGTTTATTTTTAATGTTTAGTCTGTGAGGAAACAAAGTTGTCAAATGGTGATTTACAGATAAATTGGTCTAACAAATTAAATAATCTCAAACCGATCAATTAAATAAGTTAACTTTAATTTTATTCAAATTAGTATTTAGAGATCTCTAATAAAAATTTGTGAACTCCTTACATCACATTATTACTTAGTCACATTATGGATAAACAAAATAATATAAATAAATAACATGAATAAATAAAAAACAATTCTAATAAAAAATGTATCTAGAGCATTAGCTTATAAAGTTTAGTCTGAAGTCATTGATTCTACTTCTATAAACGGTATATGATGCTACAATAAATTTTTATATACTAAAAATGGTGACAAAATATTCACAAAAACCAATTCCGATGCCATCAACTTTATTTTTATGGAGGGTGTGTAGTGTAAAAACTATTAAAACTCATAAAACTGTTCTATCTGATTCAATAATGTTTAGGTTTATAGCAATTGCCGTGATCGTAGCTAGTAAATGGGATAGGATGGTAGGTGGTGGGTGCATAAGAAGAAATCATCCTTTATACAATATAAACGATAAAGCAAAAAGAAAAAAATATTAAATTTAAATAGTTTAAATACATCAAAACCAGATTCTGATTGCAATAAGCTGCATACAACTACCTGTAAATACAAAAACCTCATAAGTAGTCTTTTCATTATGAAATATTATTTTGGTCAAACTTTTACGGAGAGGCCACCGCCCTCACATGCTCTCCTTGACTATATCCAAAGCACAAAAAATTAATTCTGAACATTTGTCTTATACTGAAGGTAATGGATAGATATTGGTTATTCTGAAGAATACATATTCTTAAAAAGTCTTTATGAAAACTGTCCTTCATTACTACAAAAACGTTGAAGAACGTTGAAGAACGATGTTGTGTGGTAATACATGTTCTGTAAAGTTTGATTAATAGACATTGTTTAATCGATTTGTTTTATCGAACTGAAAAAATTTTACCCTCTGAACTGATTACATGTCTTTTTCGGAGACAGAAAGTACACAATATCTGTTATCTTAATAAACTTTATATACAAAAGGCATATTTTGTTACTATGAGGGTATAAAAGAGATATGAATATATTGGTGAATATATTGTTATAAATAAAATTAAATAAAATAATTAAATAATTTTATAGAAATTGTTTTCAGAATGAAATATTGTAAAAGTTTTTATTCTCCAATATTATTGCAAGCATTTGAAGAAAATTTTAGAGAACGAGTTTTTTACTTAAGTCTTTTGTTTTACAATTGTGAACTCATTGCCATTGTTAGTATATTTTCGGTGTTCTTAATAACAAAGACCATTTGAAAATGTTAACTCCGTATGACCTTCATAGAGTGGTATTTATGTTAAGTTTTTAACTTAAATATTTTCAACTAATAAATAAGTTTTATTTACAAGTAAAAACAAATGAAAAAAAAAACTAAACATGCAATTAAATCGAACGGAAATTGTTCAAGTTCATGCGGTTAGAAATATTGAAAGACATTCTAAAAGATATTACCCATTCGAAAAATGTAAGTCAAAATCTGAAAGAACCATAAAACAGTTAATTACTATTAGCCAGAAGTGAGTGACCGTAACTTGGTCAATTGCTTGCGGCCAAATTGACTATGTTATAGAAAAAATGAAAGAGAAAAAAAACAGAACAATAAACAACAACTTGAGTACTCGTCATGTATGTAGACAGGTTGGGTCTTGCATTGTATTTTGTCAGCCAAGTAGTTGTACAGAATGTGATGCTGTACAATTACAGAATAAACTTGAATTCAAATGGCAAAGCCGTGCAAAAATTATTTTGAAAATATAATAAAACAGATAAATGGATTTAATATGTAGAAAAATGTTCACCTGTTAACAATTTTGACTTTATTTAACCGAAAAGTATCTATGCTAAGGCTAATAGTTGCATATGAATACTGGACTGTGTCGAATCTTAATTAATTTATTTCAACAGCAATTAATTGTACAAAATAAAAGATTTACAAATTATATTACTCTATTGCAATTTATTTATTTTTTTACTTTTAATATTATTTATTACTTTTTATTTAAAATTTAAGAAATTTAATTTGAATTTAATAGTCATCATAAACGACGTAGAAGTAAACTTATAACACTTAAAACCATTTTAATAGTTTTTATTAATTTTAAAGTATAAAATATTCAATTTGGCTTATATTTCTTAATTCATACATTTTAATA